GCAATGATTAAAAATCTTATTAGAATTATTCTTATTGTTTGGTGATTTCATGGTACATTCGAAGTATCCATCTGATATATGTTTATAGACTTTAAGGGAAAATTTGGATGAGGGGCGATAGAGAGTAACTAATTAATAAAGAGAGTTGTACTTTTGAATAATTTATATTAAGGGCATAATCATTCAACTAAACAAATATGACTTAGGATTTAATATAGATTTTATTTCATTTCCTTTTTCAACGTACATAAATTAAAGTTTATTTTCTAAGTAATATAAATGATACTTTAATTTTTAAATATTATTAGTATTGTAAAACTGAAAACTTACATGATTAAAATATATGTTACTGTAAACCGAAAAATAAGATTTGATATTTCATAATTTCTAAAAGGAGATTTTACTTTTTTCGCTTTTTTTTTTTCCTTAAAAAAACCATTTTCACGTGAACTGAGACTTGAAATCGTCTTCTTTTTTTTTTTTTTCCAAAACCTCACACTTAAATAAGTAAAAGAAAATTAATTGCAAGAGTTTAATCACATATTTTGTATTTTATGAGAGTGAAAACTTTAAAATTTAATAATATAAAAAAGTTTATGCCTTCGAATTTATTTAGTTGATGAAATATACATATATGCAATTATCTTAACCACTTTAGTATTGTTATTTAGTATACACGTAAAAACTAAATAGGATAAAATTTCACAATATTTAAATAAATGTGATTACAATTTTTTAATAGTTCAAGTCATGTTTGTATGATTGACTTGTTATACCCCTAAAACAAATTATTAAAAGTACTACCCTCTTTATTAATTATTTTTTCTCCATTGCCCTTCATCTAAATTTTTCCTTTAAGTAACGTCTTCAAGATTAGACACGATTCAAATTAATTAGTAATTTTTATTATATGATCATAGACATAACTTTTTTTTCGGGGGAGTGCCTTTTCATTTGAAACTAGATTTGTTCTCGTTGCGCTACGCACGACCAGTTTAAGTCATCTCAATATGAATTCAGTAGCGCGACCAGTTTGAGTCATGTCAATATGAATTCATTTCAAATGGTCACGTTGTCATATGGTTTAATGAAATTCTAATAAAAATTACTATGTGACACCTAAAACACGATTCATCAACACCGCCATGTGTTTTCTGGATGGCAGATTGCTTGCATTGCCACCATCAGAAGTCTAACCAAAGTATGATCACCATTTGTTTGTTGGACCCCGAATCTACACCATTGCCACCGTCGGGAACCGAAAAAGTTAGGATCAGTTGCTCTTCCTTTCAAAAGATTGACCGTCGCCACCACAAGAAGATAATTGGATTTCGAAGGGATAGAGAAATGGAGGTGATAGAAGATTAGATTGATATTTTGGGCAGAGGAAGGTTTGTGGGGAAGGAAGAGATGGAGTTTTAATTGGTAACTCGGGTAGTAAACGTCATCGTTTAGTCCGCCACATTAATTAGGTTTTCTTTCGGCTAATGATATATTTGTTTGGCAAAAAAGAGAAATAACTTTATTAATTAACCATTATAGTCTTGTTTTAAATTGCTGATGTCATGTTAATATATTAACCAATCAAAGGGCTCAATTTAAAATTGATGATGTCATGTGAATTAATGGGCTAATCAGAATGCTCAATTTAATTTCTGACCAATCACGTACAAAATTCTAAACTCAGAAAGAGACATTTAATTATGTACAGATGAATAGATACAACTTGTAACTTGTGTCCCTAAATAATTCCGACATTTACAAGAATTCACATGATTTTATTTGGGAAAATTTCTATTAAGAGCATTGGAAAGATACTAATTATTAAAAAGGGTATGGGTTTTATTTATTCATTATCATTCAGTTTAAATTAATTTTAGCGTTTTTTCATCTACGAAATAACTCTATCCCTTATCTTCAAGCAACAAGATGAACCTCTCTTATCTCGGATAACAAATTCTCCGGAAGATGCTGGCTCAAACATGTTCAAAAACATTTTTACGAAATTTCATTGTCTTTAATAATGATGAGATTCGATCAAGAACATGTTTTTGAAAACTAGATTTTGAACGAAAACTGAATAAATTCATGGAACGAAAATAGTTATATGAAAGAAGACAACCGCAAAATTGGTGTGAACTGTTGATTTCGGTGGTGAAGATAAGAGTGATTCAATCCCAAATAATATATCATCTGATTTTCAATTGGGAGCATAGAGAAATCTTCATTTCTTTTCTTGATTCCGCAGAAGTAGATCGTTAATTATGATTCTTCAATTACAAAGTGAAAAAGGTCCTGTCACTGAGAACAGGATAATAGGGTTTTTGGTCAAGGAAAAACAAATTAATAACATGGAAAAATGTAACTCATATCCTTTATAATAATTATTATGATCTTTAATATGCCCTTAATAATAATTCTTCCATTTTATTTTCAATTTCAACAGCTATATATCTTTTTATGGAATGTTGACTTCATGGCGCTTGATAGTGACAAACTTCGGTCTTTAGCATGCTATACATGTGACAAATGTTATATGGAAGACCCGCAATGTCATGATTTTCGAGCCTTGTTATGGACGGTGATCAGCTTCAGCTACGAAATTTTGGGAGAAAAGAAGTAGGAACTAATGGCAGAAAATTGACCACTGGGATAAAAACATGTCGATAGAATTTACTTAAACATGGCAGAAAATTGTATTGTCTAAATAGAATTTACTTTAAGAAAAAAGAATTTAGTTAAAATTGACGATATCCTAGCGGTGTCGTTGTTTGAGAATGTAGTGGTGTTTTGTATAGCGCGTCAGTTTACATAATCTATCCAAAGGCCTCCTGAAAAAAAAAAAAATGTTATACAAAGAAACTTCAAGATGAGAAGGTTTCAATGAATGATGATATAAATAAGTTTGGATAAGCTCCATTTCAATCTCTAATGCTACACCAACACAATTGATGAGATCGATCAATATTTGCACTTAGCAGTTGAGCTAATTGTTACGAAAGTCATCACCATTCTTGCCAAATTTCTTTTTTCTGTTTAATTTTACACGGAATCAATTGATAAAACAATATATTCCTTCGGTTCTGAAATAATTATCCTATTTGAATTTTTAGTTTTAGTACAATTCAAGGCCTCTTTGCGATACGAAATGGTTGTTCAGTTTCGATATATATTTTTACTTCAAATTGTAAAAAACTAAAAATCCAAACACAAATATTTTCGCACATACTTCAAAATTTAGATAATTTTAAAGAGGAACGCCTACCACATTGTGAAGTAGTACCATTAGGTTGTAAACTACTATCCTATGGGATAGAAAGACGTTATCAGCCACGTGAATTCTTTGCCACCAAAAGACGTAAGATGATTGGCAGCAAAACGCACTCACGGACTGGATGATTAACAAATCAACGAAATACAATTATAATCATTTTTTCAATATTTGAAGACGATTAATAATTAATCAATACATTATAAATAATCGCTTTAAATAAGCTTTGAAACATACACCACTTGTCAAAAAAGAAGCCAAAAAATTGGTGACCTTGTGTCCAGGATAAGCAATCAAAATCTGACAGCTTACAAGTTGCAACTTTGTCCCTTCTCAGCCATGAACAAAACAAATACGTAAATACGTACTAGTTATGATTTTTTTAAAATATAAAAACCAGCACGTGATGAACTGGAATAGGACAATGCGAACTGAAAGAATGCGCCTAACAGGCTATAGATAGCAAACATGCCTAAAGATTCATCCATATTTTCACACTTCTGGGTACAAAAACTTAAAAAGAAATCATGTTTGGAAACTTATGGATATGGGCAACTTTGGTGCCGGCAGCAATTTGCTTCCTTCTGCAAGAATTGTTTTTCATGAAGTTAAGGAAAAGATTGCCTCCAGGACCAAAAGGGCTTCCAATTTTGGGCAATCTGCAAATGTTAGGGAAGAACCCTCATCAGGATTTGTGCAAATTAGCCAGAAAACATGGTCCTATTATGCATCTGCGATTCGGGTATGTTCCAGCGATCATAGTTTCATCCCCTGAAGCAGCTGAGAAATTCCTCAAGACTTATGATCAAGTTTTTTCAAGTAGGCCTTATCATGAAGGTGCTTGGTATGTTGGTCATGAGCAGAGGAACCTGACTTCTTGTCCATATAATCCGTATTGGCGAAATATCCGAAAACTCTGCATCTTGCAGTTGCTCAGTAACCAGAAGATTAAGTCATTTCAGCCCATGAGAAGAAAAGAAGTTGGAGAATTGGTTGAATCACTCGAAATGGCCGCTTCTGATTCTTCTGTTGTCGATCTTAGCGCTGCAATTTCATCGTTAGGCGCGAATATTAGTTGTCTGATGATCTTTGGAAAGAAGTACATGGACAAGGATATTGATGACAGGGGATTTAAAGATGTTATTACAGAAACAATGCATCTTGGAGCACTTCCAAATCTCGGTGACTTTTTTCCAGGGCTCGGAGTGCTTGATCTTCAGGGGATTAGAAGGCGATTCAAGGCGCTGGGTAAGGTTTTCGATAGTTTCTTTGAGAGAGTTATTGATGAGCATGAGCAATCTCAAGAGCAGAAGCAAACCAAGGATTTTGTGGATATCATGCTTGAAATTATGCATTCCGGTGAATTTGAATTTGAGTTCGACCGTCGCAATATCAAAGCTATACTACTGGTAAAGTTTCATCTAGTTCACTTTCTTTTTTAACTCGATGATTACGGTTTCATATGATTATGCCTCAATTTAAGAGCTAGCTCCAAATTCCTCTGCTGTTTTATCATCTCTGTTAGCAATGGCGATTTGTGAGACGGCACGAATCTACTAGGATAGATTGAATATCTCAATAATGTTACACATAATTAGGACCTTGAGGTTCATGACAAATCACGATCAGATTATCATTCCATAACTACGTAAAACAATATAGAGCGCAAGTTGTATATATGCTGTGTTTTTACTTTGAGCTTTTCCGTTTACACTATTCTCTGTTACAGGATATGCTTATTACCTCAATGGACACATCGGTAACAGCAGTTGAATGGGCTATTTCAGATCTTCTCAGGCATCCAGAGTGTATGAGAAAACTCCAGAAAGAATTAGGCAAAAAAGTCGGACTCGACCGAATAGTGGAGGAATCAGACCTGGAGAACTTAGAGTACTTAAACATGGTTCTAAAAGAATCCATGAGGCTTCATCCTGTGGCACCCCTTTTGCTGCCTCACGAATCCATGGAAGATTGTACTGTTCATGGTTTTCATATCCCGAGAAAATCCCGGATTATTATCAATGTATGGGCTATTGGGCGTGATCCAAACGTCTGGCATAATCCTGAGAGTTTCATCCCTGAAAGATTTAAAGAAAACAATGTCGATTTTCGGGGACAGGATTTCAGGCTTATACCATTTGGTTCAGGCAGAAGAAGTTGTCCAGGTTTGCAGTTGGGATTGACAGTTTTCCGGTTTGTGTTGGCACAATTGGTTCACTGCTTCGATTGGAAACTTGCTGATGATATTCATCCTACCGAATTGGATATGTCTGAGGCATTTGGTTTGGTAACATCAAGAGCTCAGCATTTAAGGCTCGTTCCAATCTGTCGTTTACAGAAATGATTGAATCATAATACTTTGAACGACGCAACGTACCCTAAGTCGTAACGGAAATAGTCTCTTTGTACAATTATAAGGGTAAGGCTGCGTATATCTCACTCCCCCTTACTTTGTTGGGAATATAATAGGTATGATGATGATGTTCTTATCTCCATCAGGTCCATATATAAAAACAAAAAGAAGTTCATAACTACAGTCCTAATTTTCTTGTTTCCTTCATCCTGAGATATCCACATTTTTCTTTTCTTTTCTTTTTTTTTTTTCCGAAACGGAGATAAACCACATTTTCCATTCGACAAGAAAGTTCTTGTTTGATATTCTGCATAACCAGGTTCAGGTTCTGTTTAGCAAGATTTTGACATTTTGTCTCCAAATGAATATGATTTGCTCCTCCTTTTCTTCCCTATTGTACCAGGCATCCAATTCACTTTAAATTTAAGCCAATCGGTAAGGCCCATTTAGAGAATCACGATAGATTATCCACATTGAAAGAATATGTTAGTAGACGATTCTATAAACCTCCCCACCTAGATTACTGACTCTAACAGTCATTTCATTCTTACGTTTGTCAAAAGTCTATTCCTGAAAGATACAGACGAAGGGGAAAAACGAAAAACACTGGATTTCGATGTAGTTGTCGCAAACCAAATCATCCGATCATCCAATCAACATTTTGGCTCAAAACAAAGATATCTGTTTTATTTTTTACTTTTTTATTTTATTTTTTATTACTTATCGATGATGACCCAGAGTCGCAAGAAATAATTAAAATGATAATAAGTGAACATTGATCATATCTTCAAATTGCCAATTATGCTTCAGGCATGTATTCATTGTCAATGTATATTCTTGAAGTTCTAGAATATGCATTGACAATATTATCACTCTAGTTTTATGTCCCCAAGGAAAAGAATTCCCAGAATAACATCATTTGATTATCTCTAACGTCAGGATGTGTTATTTTCCAATTTCTTTAATTATGGATGATGGCTATACTAAAATTCAAATGTCTCCATAGTCCATTTCAAACATGGTGTTATGAATTATTTTATGGTATTTTTAACTTTTTCATATAATCCAACATTTATATACTTCTAATGGAATTATACTTATTTCGTTCCAGAAAAAATATTCTACCTTGTTTTAGGCACCAAACCATTTTAGTGGTGTTTTTGTTCTATGTCAACTGAAACATATTTTTATTTAAGCGGACAGAAAAAATAATTTCAAAATTTCTTGAAAATCGGATTTGTAAATCCGGCAATCCCTAATCGGTCAATTTTACTTTTTCCTTCATATTTAGGAACCGGTCAAAAACTCCATTTTATTGTATTGTTTTATTTCAATAAAATAGAATACATATATATATATATATATATATATATATATTTTGGAGAACGAGTACTATTTGATGAAAGTATAATCTATTATATATTTTATTTTAACCTTTTCTACGGGAATTCTAGAATACATACACCCCTGATTCTGATTAAATGTCTGATGAAATGGAAAGTAAATTGATAAGTTTAAGGGACACTCAGTTATCAATTTTCATATGGCAACCAGTACGCCATAATAACATTAGATATTGGCAGCGCTTGCATCTCATTGGCCAGGAGGTTTGCAATGGCTACATGTTCCAACAACGGAGATGCAATTGTCATACAAGATGATCTAATTGGGTTTTCATACTCTAGAAATATAAGAGTTTAATTTTAAGCGTGTAAACTCTTTCTTTGTAATAAATAAAAAATATTAGATGTTGGCGACATTTGTCGTTTATTTATTTTTTATAATCTCATGAAGATGATTCGAATTTTCTGATACGGGATTTCGAACTATACTCCATAAGCCAAGCAACAAAAAGTCTTTTCAATCACTTGAAAAAACAACCCTAGTGAAAAGAACTACTTGTGACTGTTTCTATAGTTCTGAAATAATAAGCCCACAAGAGAGCTGTTTGATGGCTTCATTTTTCAGCTTTCTTTCTTTCTTTTTTTTTTTTAAAAAATAGTTTTGTAATTGTTGATGTAGCCTAGTTGGTATGATTTTGAGTGGATTCGTGAAATGTTGGGTTTCGTTACTGTCGTACAGAATGGATTCCAACCCAAAAAACTAAACTAAAACTGTTTTCCTCAGTAGCTAATTTATTAAATGTGGATTTAATTATAAGTAGATGTACTTTTAGAAACAGTATGCTGGATTTTTCATCAACCAATTTTAATATTCCCTAAAACATAATCCGTTTTGAAAAGTTGGAAAAGCTGTCTTCATAAGTGCCGATGTGGTTTTTGTTTTTAGTTCTTTGTTTTTTTCTGTTATTGTAAATTTAACAACAAGATGACAATCGATTGATTAATCTTTTCGTTTGGAGGACATGCCTATTATATGTTCTGCGCTTTATATATGTGTGCCCTTTCTAAAAATAACATTAATATTTTACTTGTGTGGTTTTTTATCGTGATCCACGGTGATAAACTGTGTCAATTTTCTTTTCTCACCATGAAGATCGATACAAAGATACATTCCCTTATTCTAAAAAGAGTCTTTTCTCTTCCACTATTAATAATAGAACGTAACTCCTTTATTCTCCCTTTCCCTTTGATTCTTGCACGAGGTTTATCTAAAATTTCATAATAAAATCTTCGATTCTAAAAATTAATCCTTTATTCAATTTGAATTTTTCACTTTTAACATATTTTATATTACAAATTAAAATCTAAATAGAACAATCCTCAATTCATTTTAGAATGGAGACAGCATTACTCTCTTAACCCTGCATCCTTGGATCTGCCATTTGTTCTTATAGAGGCAGTCACATATAGTTCACATTTTATGTAAAAAAAAAAAAAACCCATTAAAGTCTGATTTGTTGTTTTATTTTAATTTAACTAATGCGCCATCTGTCACAAAAAAAAAATAAAAATTCCACTTTAAATTTTGAGATTTGTACTGTTTTTAGTTTAAAGTTTAAAACTCTATATGGACTAATTTTTCAGACAAAGTACTATTAATTTATAATAATGTATAAACTTTGTTTCAAATATATATATATATATATATATTATCTCATAATTTTGGAAGTGACTATGTTTTGAAATGGCACACATACTGAAATATCCATTCATATTAATCACTGCACCCTATAGAGCTATCTCATGGTTTTGAAGTTTTCCGTAGACTGCAATCAGAACTCAAAATTCCTATTTGGAAGCAACCATCAAAGTTCGATTTCTCCAATATTCTTCCCTGTCTTTACTACTTGTCATCATCCATATTTCCCGACCGCAAAAAACCTATCACTTACATTTCAGCTAAAAGCTTATCACCATAAATTGAGAGAATACTCCCAGTGGAAGTACAATACAACTAATCTGGAACAAGAAGAAGAAAAAAAACATGATGCCTCCAATTTGGATTCATACAGTATTTGTTGTATTAGCAATTTCTTTCCTCACAGTTGTGATGAAGAAGAAAAATAGAAATCCATTGCCTCCTAGTCCAAAAGGGCTACCAATCCTCGGCCATCTCCATCTCTTGGGTAAAAATCCTCACCAAGATTTGCATAAATTGTCAAACGAGCATGGCCCTATTATGCATCTGAAATTCGGGTTTGTGTCGAATATTGTTGTTTCGACTCCTCATGCTGCTGAGCAATTTCTCAAGACAAATGATCTTGTTTTTGCAAGCCGGCCACCACATGAAGCAGCTAAGCAAATCAGTTGGGGACAGAGAAACCTTTCCTTTGCCAAATATGGTCCATATTGGCGTGACATGCGAAAGTTATGCACTTTAAACTTGCTTAGTAACCTTAAAATCAGTTCATTTCAGTCTATGAGAAAACAAGAGATTGGATTTTTTGTGGAATCCCTCAAAAGGGCTGCCATAAATCGAGAAGTTGTCGATATAAGCGCGGAAGTTGCTGCGTTGAATGCGGATATGAGTTGCTTAATGGTGCTTGGAAAGAAGTATGAAGACAAGGAATTCGATGAGAGGGGATTTAAAGCAGTGATCAAAGAAGGGATGCAGTTAACTGCTACTCCTAATCTTGCAGATTACTTTCCGATTCTTGGAGTACTTGATTTACAGGGATTGAAAAGAAGAATGAAGGCTATTGCCAAAGTTTTTGATGGTTTTTTCGAGAAAATAATCGATGAGCATGAGGAGAATCCAAACCATGGAGATAGACAATCTGATGACTTTGTTTATACCATGTTGCACCTCATGAAATCAGGAGAATCTGGATTTCCATTCGACCGGCGTCACATCAAAGCAACTTTGCTGGTGAGCCACGCTGAATCAAAGTTTCCATTTAGATTGTATTCCTATTTACTTACTCTGCTCTTCAAGTCATCAAAAAAAAAAAAAAATATTCATGAATTGAGGAAAATGTTTTGATTTCAGGATATGCTGGCTGGATCAATGGATACATCAGCTACAGTTGTGGAATGGATACTATCAGAACTTCTGAAACATCCACAAGTGATGAAAAAGCTCCAGAAAGAATTGGAAGAAATAGTTGGCCTAGAAAGAATGGTGGAAGAGTCTGATTTGGACAATATGAAATATTTAGATATGGTTGTCAAAGAAGCAATGAGGCTTCATCCCGTGGCGCCATTACTGATCCCTCACGCCTCTGTACAAGATTGCGTTGTTGACGGATTCCACATACCCAAAGATTCGCGGGTTATTGTTAACGTATGGACTATTGGGAGGGATCCGAACGCGTGGTCCAGTCCCAATGAATTCATTCCAGAGAGATTTGTTGGGAGCAAACTTGATGTAAAGGGACATGATTTTCAGCTTTTACCTTTTGGATCAGGAAGAAGAGGGTGCCCTGGAATGCAACTTGGGCTTACCGTGGTTCGCCTTCTGGTCGCGCAATTGGTGCATTGTTTCGATTGGGAACTCCCAGACAAGATGTTGCCTGAAGATCTGGATATGACTGAAGAATTTGGCCTGGTTGTCACCAGGGCTAAACATCTAATGGCTATTCCAACATATCGTCTCAAGTAGTAATCGAACAATATAATTGGATGTTTTACTGTTGTTTCATCATATAAACGACCTGAGAAGTGATCAAATCATGCTTTCGCGAGTGATCACTTCATTTATATAAAAATAGCTTTGACAAATCTTTATGTTTGTTGTTCTGACATAATTGACAGTTGACAGCATGTTACATACAAGTTTACTTAAAACTCCAATCTATTCTGAAAATCTTCCGTTCCTTCCAGCTGATCTTCAATACCTGTGGTAGTATGTTGAAGGCACCATTTGTCCCGATCTTGCAGTAATTTCCAAATTCTCGAACTCTTGGATGATGGTGATGATGATGCGAGTCGGGCATCTGATTTCGTAATTGTAAAAAACTAAAGGGATCCTTGACAAGCTTGAAGTCTTTTGATATCTGCCCTGTTCCATCCCCTGAATCAGCAGGAACCCCGATAACGCGCAACTTATAAGGATCGATGTAAGGTTCATAAACACGGATTCTTACGTGCTTCATTCCACTATACACGCCTGAACTCATCCAGTTAAGACTGTTGTTCACAACAAGTGGTCTGTCCCGGACTGCAAATCGAAAAAGAACGGGTTACAGCACCATATAAAGTCCATCCATCTCCCTGTTTCCGAAGAAATGGAAAATCAATTCTTTTCTCTGAAGAAACTCTACATAGTTTTGGTATATTTACAAGACTAGATAAGTATCTAGCTGAGCAGTTTCCACGTACAGGGAGATATGATGGCACTCTGGATGTATTCACTTTTCCATTTTTAAAAAATAGTCCAACATTTTCTTCATTTCGTGTGAATCAAGGTTTGAAATAGTCCGACATTTTCTTCATTTCGTGTTAATCAAACACCTACAGGTAGAATTGCTTGCTTTATCGTTTCGTGTATCTGTGTCATTTTCAATATTACTCTAATCATTAGGTCTTTAGATTAGTGTTTCAACCTAAAAAAGGGTAAGATATTCAAGAAGCATATTTATATTATAGCAGGTGATATGTTTATCAATGGACTACTCCCTCCATTTTTTTTTATATGTCTTTCTAGAGAATTCATCAAAACCAAAAACACATTAATTAATATAGTTTAAATACAGAAATACCCTTATTAATTTTCTATACAACTCATCACAAACCAATAGAAATTGATTATAAATATTGTTTCATTTCCAATGCAAGGGTAATTTCAATAAAAAGTGGTCAAATATGTATCGATTTTTGAAAACCGACTTATATTTAAAAAAATTCACCAATCTCTAAAATGACATATATTTCAGAATGGAGGGAGTATTTGTTTTACTGCATGACTCCAAATTTAACTTTTTAGTTCTGGAAGCAACCGTTTGATTTCTCTATAAAAATCAGGTTTTTGATGATTGTGGTAAAGTTTGTATTGAAAGAGACATTATAATATCTCATCCTTTTCCGCAGGCACGAATCATCATAGGATTGGTGAGCTTATTTTCCAGGATAAGCAATTAATTCTTACTGGTAAATATCCATTCCCAGACATGAATGAAACAAATGTACAAAGACTTTGACTTGTAAGCACTGGAAATTGGTAACTGGAGTAGGACAGCCAACTAAAAGCAAGAGTTTGTGAGGACTGAGGAAGTGACTGTTGTTCCTTACAGGCTATAAAGTGCAAACCTGTTTCGCCCTTCATCCATATAATTAAATCCACCCTTTCTGGATCTTTTTCATTAAAAAAAAAAAGAAAAAAATTCACTAAAAAGAAATGATGATTGGCATTCAGTTGATAAGCTTAGCTTTTTTTCTGGCTGCATTTTGTTTCCTTCTTCAAGAAATGTTTTTCATGAAGAAGAGGAAAAGATTGCCTCCAGGTCCAAAAGGCCTTCCAATTTTAGGGCATTTACATATGTTAGGAAAGAATCCTCATCAGGATTTGTGCAAACTAGCCCGAAAACATGGTCCGATAATGCATCTGCAATTCGGGTTTGTCCCAGCAATCATAGTTTCATCTCCTGAAGCTGCGGAGAAGTTCCTGAAAACGTATGATCACGTTTTCGCTAGCAGGCCTCATCATGAATCTTCATGGTATGTTGGGTATGGGCAAAGGAACTTGACTTTTGGTCCATACGGTTCGTATTGGCGGAACATGCGAAAACTCTGCATCATCCAGTTGCTTAGTAAGCAAAAGATTAATTCATTCCTGCCCATGAGAAAAAAAGAAGTTGGAGCCTTGGTTGAATCACTCAAAAGGGCAGCTTCTGATTCTTCTGCTGTTGATCTTACTGCTGCTATTTCGTCGTTAGGCGCGAACATGAGTTGTTTGATGATATTTGGAAAGAAGTACATGGACAAGGATATTGGTGACAGGGGATTTAAACATGTTATAAAAGAAGCCATGCGTATGGGCGCTATTCCAAATCTTGGTGATTTCTTTCCTGGGCTTGGTGTACTTGATCTTCAGGGGATTACAAGGAAAATGAAGGCACTTAGTAAGGTGTTTGATCGTTTCTTTGAGAGAATCATTGATGAGCATCTGCAATCCAAGGAGCATAAGGAACCGAAGGATTTCGTCGATATCATGCTGGAAATCATGCAATCTGGACAATCTGAATTTAAATTCGACCATCGTAATATCAAAGCTGTACTATTGGTAAGTTTTTCTTCAAAAGTTTAGGTTTAATTTATATCTTTTTCTTTTTAATCTTAGTTCTTATTGTTATGCCTCCTATACACAACCTTCCAAATTTCTCTGTTCGTCTAACTTCTCTATTTGGAATTGTGATTTTAATTTTGATTTTAAATGGCTATGAAATGAATAATTGAATACAACATATTATCGTAGAAACAAACCTGATTATCTTTCCTGATTTGTATTCTCAATTAATACTACTCTCTTCGTCCCAAAATAAAAATCATATTTATTAAAATAAAACAATACAACAAATAAGACTCATGTTTATTGAAGACAGGTGCTTTAGCAGTAGCTCTGAATTCTTCTTCACTGACTTTTCTCTGTTCTCCAGGATATGCTTGTTGCTACCACGGACTCATCAGGGACAGCGGTTGAATGGGCTCTTTCAGAACTCCTCAGGCATCCAGAATCTATGAAAAAACTCCAGAAAGAATTAGGTGAAAAAATCGGGATGGACAGAACGGTTGAGGAAACAGAGCTGGAAAGCTTGGAGTACTTAAACATGGTTCTGAAAGAGACCATGAGGCTTCACCCTGTAGGGCCTCTAATGCTCCCTCATGAATCCATGGAAGACTGCGAGGTCGATGGTTTCCGAATCCCCAAAAAATCCAGGATTCTTGTAAACATATGGGCAATCGGGCGTGATCCCAATGTCTGGCCTGATCCTGAGAGATTCATGCCTGAAAGATTTGAAAAAGATGATGTGGATTTTCGGGGACAAGATTTCAGGCTTATACCATTTGGTTCTGGCAGAAGAAGCTGTCCGGGTTTGCATTTGGGATTCACAGTTTTTCGGTTTTTATTGGCACAATTGGTTCACTGCTTCGATTGGAAACTTGCTTATGATATTCAGCCAAACGAATTGGATATGTCTGAGGTGTTTGGTTTAGTAACATCAAGAGCTCAGCCATTGAGGGTCATTCCTAAATACCGTTTGGAAGGTTGATTTATATCAGCCTAATGAACAAGGTTTATCTTCTTTAAAAATAAATAAATGAAAATTATATAAAAATGTGTAGTGAGCTTGAAATAGTAGTATATAGAAGACTAGAAGTGTATAGGAGCAATGCAGATGTTGCTATTTAGAAGAAAGACACAATTTATGAGATCTGAATGTAAGTACTAAATTTTAAAATACAACGATAGCTCTTGCCTTCGCTATCATAACAGGGTATACATGAGGATGTTAAAAGCCATCACATTTTACTCTAATATAAGAAAACAATATTATTTTATATTTGTGTGATGTATCTTTTTGAAACGACTGTGAAAATTTCTATAGGAAACGACTGTGAAAATTGCCCTAATGAATAATTTAAATACAATTAACACTAACATTTTCAGTGTTGACATAAACTCTATCACAAGGCTTTAAGATCTTTTAAAGCTCAAGATACCATGGACGGGGATGAGTTTTTCTGCTTTTTTTTTTTTTCGGTTGCAGTAAAGAGAGACTCACGTCTTACAATGAAATTAATACATCACGAGGATATGTTACACCTGTAGTATCATGTTTGAGCATGGTTTGATCAACAATGGTGATTGCAATCCTCCGGAGCCTTGTGCCACCAAAGAAGCTATGTAATCTGCCACGAAATTTGCCTCCCGAAATTTCCTTCAGATGGAAAACTCAAAAACTTCATACGGTTCGGTTGATTTTGGTGACCAAGTTAGTACCAGAAAAAAGTGTCGAGTATTTTAACAACTAACGACCTGTTTAAGACTAGATTTTAGTAATGAAAACAATTTACAAGACCACTCAAGAGCTGTTGAACACAAAATTAAGAAGAGGTACCCTTCAAGCCTATGCAACGCGACTCAACAATGAAAATTCGCAAGTACAAACCACACATGAAGAGCTGATCATATCTGCTTTTTTAAATGGCTTGCATATTGGAGCTATTTACATAAAATTGGCTTGCCACCATCCAACAACAGTTCAGAACGTGATGAGAATTGTGGAAAGATTGACTAGAGATAGATAATCAGTTTGAAAAAAAAAATGAGAAGCTGCGAAGCACAAAAGACAACTAGAAAAGCATAAATCCACAGCAATAGCAGTTACGGCAAAAAGTTAGTAGGAGTGAATCTGAAAGAGAAGTATATGATTAGGGCCCCAAACTAAGTACCCAATATGGTCTGTTACGTCGGAAGAAGTAAAAAGGGCAATGTGGTCAATAAGCAGTTCGATGAGTCCATGACCTGATGAATATGGGAGCAAGTTCTATAAAGCTACTTTGGAGGTAGTAGAGTAAGATGTAACAAATGCAGTTTAGGAATTCTTTGAACATGGAAGTTTACTTGAACAGTTGAATACCACAATGCTTGCGTTGATCTCGAAAACTGAGAACGCACAAAATGCAGGAGAGTATAGACCGATAGCATGCTTCAGTGTGGTATATATAATGTATCTCCAAAATACTAAGTGAGAGAATGAAGGATGTGTTAGTGGTGCTGTAAATGAAAATCAAAGTGGTTCATGAAAAACATGTTAATCTTGCACAATGTACTAATTGTTAGCAAAAGAACCCTTTGAGTTATAAGAAAGAGATCTTTTAGGTGATAGATTTAGGAAGTGAAAATGAAAGAGAAGGAAATTTTGGGAGAAGGGAGCTTTACCACTTTGTAGTAAAAGGAACAAAGTGGAAAGGATTGTATTAAGCTTTTAGCTTAAGAACTCATACAACTTCTCTACACACCTTACATAAGGGGGTTAACTCCTATTTATAGAAGTTCATGGAAGATTCTACATACTTTCAAGATTTTCCTCCTACACATAATATCTATAAATTTCCTTATTAATATCTAGATATTTCCTCTAGATATTTCAATTGATTATTCTACAATATCTAGATATTTTAGTAGAAGTTTCTACTACTTTCATCATCTCTTTCTAGTCTATTCTTCATATTGGATTTGGGCTCAATTTTAAACAAAAGACTAATGATCTAACTAATTAAATTGGATGACCCAATATAATTTTGAACCAAACAAGTTTATTCACTAACACCCTCCTTTAAACTTGGTTTGGTGACTCCAAGCATTATCCTACATGTTGTAAAGTCTTCTCCTTTGATGTAGAAACATTTGCCACCTTCTCGAACATGGAATCATCTAGACATTGATGGATAAGTGAAAGAGCTTGCTGATCCTTTCTCCTTGCTTTGTTGAGTTCCCCCCTTTGGGCAGGAGTCAAAGAAGCGTCATCTAGAGGTTTCTCATAACCTTTCTCAACAATCTCCCAAACCTCATGAGAACCCAAGATCGCCTTCATTCGAATGGACCACTTACCATAGTTTTCTTTGGTAAGTTGAGGAAATTGGAAGAGATCATTCCATTTGCCATCTTACTTCAAAGCTGGATCAACACCAGCTCTGATACCAGTTTGTTAGCAAAAGAACCCTTTGGGTTATAAGAAAGAGATCTTTTAGGTGATAGGTTTAGGAAGTGAAAATGGAAGAGAAGGAAATTTTGGGAGAAAGGGAGCTTTACTACTTTGTAGTAAAAGGAACAAAGTGGAAAGGATTGTATTAAGCTTTTAGCTTAAGAACTCATACAACTTCTCTACACACCTTACATAAGGGGGTTAACTCCTATTTATAGGAGTTCATGGAAGATTCTACATACTTTCAAGATTTTCCTCCTACACATAATATCTAGAAATTTCTTTATTAATATCTAGATATTTCCTTGAAATATTTCAATTGATTATTCTACAATATCTAGATACTTTAGTAGAAGTTTCTACTACTTTCATCATCTCTTTCTAGTCTATTCTTCATATTGGATTTGGGCTCAATTTTAAACAAAAGACTAATGATCTAACTAATTAAATTGGATGACCCAATATAATTTTGGACCAAACAAGTTTATTCACTAACACTAATCGTGCAAGAGATGATCAGACTGCATGGAAGGAAAAGAGTATCGAAAAGATGCCTGATGAAGATTGATGTAAAGAAAGCCTATGATAAGGTAGATTAGCAGTTTGTGCATGAAATGTTATAGGGCTATGGATTTCTAGCAAGATTTACTAGCTGGATTATGGAGTGTGTATCAACAGCCTTTTTCACTGTTGTAATTAATGGCACTAATATTGGCTTCTTTGCAGGACAAAGAGGACTAGACAAGGGGACCCTATCTCACCTCTCCTCTTTGTCTTAGTGATGGTATACTTAACTAGAAAACTGAAAATGGTGGCAAAAAACCCTAAATTTCAATATCATCCATTATACCCTGCCTTGAAGTTAACTAACATTTGTTTTGTAGATGACCTCATGCTTTCTTGTAAACTAGATGATATCACTATAAGCAGCATCATGGAAGGCCTCAATGCATTCTCAACCACAACTATACTTCGTCCCACTATGCAAGAATTCAATATATATTTAGGAGGAGTTCTAGCAGCAAAGAGAAAGAAAATTTTGTGAAGCAACAGGCTTACATGATGGAGCTTTTCCCACGAGGTATCTTGGAGTGCCCCTCTCACCAAAGAAATGGACTGAGTTGGATTGTCAAAATCTTGTCCAGGAGATGTTGGAACGAATAAGATGTTGGAGCCCCCGAAATCTCGCGTACGCAGGTAGACTGCTACTAGTCAATTCTATTTTGATGACCATACATGTGTACTCGGCTTGTACCTTTATACAGCCACAAAGTTTAATTAGGCAGGTTACTAGCATACGTAGAGAGTATCTTTGGGGTGGGCAGGTAGATCTACCCGTTTAGTTGCTTAGGATGTAGTTTGTAAGAAGAAAGGGGAAAGTGGACATGGGATCAGGGACATCAAAACCTAGAATCAAGCTACAATTTTGAAACAAGTCTGACACTTGGCACTAAAGAGTGATACGTTATGGGTGAAGTGGGTGTATGATATTTATATAAAGAATTAAATCTATATGGGAAGTAGAAGGAAAATGTGATTCCAGTTGGCACTACAAACAAATACTAAAGATCAGAGACAGAGGTGAGGATGGTTTTGATGGAACTAGATGGAAAGGGAACCCCACAGGGTTGTATACCATCAGTGAAGGGTATAGATGGTTAAATGGAGATGCAACAAAACTCCAGAAGCCATTGTAATATGGGCAAAGATGAACATACCCAAGCACTCCATCTCAACCCTGGCCATTGTGTTGATAGCCCCAGAAACCTTAAATCGCACCGGAAAAGGTTAGGGAAACCTAAGAAGGTTTTCGTGACACAAACCCTAGTTTTCGGGTCCCACTGGGCGTGCCACTTGATGAAACTTGGTTTTACACCGCCAGTTTAGTAGTGGAACTCCGGCTAGGGTTTCCTGCAAAAGAGATCCTCGGGGTCTCCCGAAGGTAGACACTCTGATGCTTAAGTCAATAAAAAGGGCTTAAAGGATATATGTGAATAGTAATTGGTGCTAGAGATAGCGTACCTGTATCGCGGTGTGATCAACCTTATTTATAGGCATGAAGTTACCTTGAAGGAGTCCGGATCCTATTAGGTTTCATGTTCTGGAACCGCCTCTATAAAGTCAGCTGGACCATGATTGGTTGATGGGTCGGTCCAATAACCCTCGATGGATATGGACTCGTCACTTATAAAAAATCTCAAACTCTCCTCTTCCCTCCCTGAATTCGTTATTCTCTTAATTTGAATTCCCCGGGTGTCTTAGCCGGATTTTATTACATATGTATTATATTTGACGAAAGGTTTAATGAACTTTTGAGGGTTAGATGTTGAAAAGTTATCAAATCAAAAATTCCACCAACTATTAGTTCAAGGGTATGGAAATATATTTTTGTTGTGATGAAATTTTAATCTGATGAATACCTTTTTCTTTCGTTTAGCAAATTAATTTAATGTGTTTATTATCAAATTTTGTTAACGTAATTTTTGACAGATATGTGGCTGGTATTTTATTGACGAGCCTCGTGTCTCCTGTCGTAATAGCACAAAATCAATGTCTACATCCACATTCCTCCCCTCCATCGATGAAGAAATATAAAACAAGTAAAAGTGTTTGAAAGGACTCTTATTTTCTATAATTTCAACTCTTGCTTTATTTTGATAGTAGTCAAATTCGAATAATGAATCGAGAAGCGAATGCTACATTGGGGTTTTTATTGCTCATTTTCTTCGCATGAAAAGTTAATTAGAGAAGCTACTGTTAATTAGTGTTTTAATTTTAATAAATACGTATTTGGAAGATTCCGATTAGTAGTTAGTATTTTGACTTTTGATATCCCTCGGCAGGTATATTATATTCATATTTTTTTGATTGGAAAATATAAAAAATTAATATTGCATTACACTTTGTTCAATGTAGAGTGTGTTCTAAAAATGAGAAAGAATTAGAAATAGAGAATGAGTTCTTACAACGATAAAGAAATAGAAACGGAGGATCGGTTCTCCCTAATGCCTTGAATTTTAATTTTTTTTTATTATATAGTTTGCTCTTTCAAGATGGAATTGAATGACAGCCTAGTGGTTAGGTTGCAGTCTTTCCCAGTGAAGGATTCGATTTTCACTTGGGGGTTGTAAGGGGAGGTGTTTACCCACATTTAAGTGGGGTAGACTAGGGTGGATTTTTTATTTTTTTATTTTTAAAAAGTTTGCTCTTTCAAGATTAAATTTCAGCTATTTATGACTCTTTATTGAATTTACATTGGAGAAAAAGTAGCGGATTTTTTAAGGAGCATCGATTTGTAACCATGAGAGAAAAGATATTTACCATCTCAATATTTCGAGTCCTTTTTTTTTTTTTTGCATAGTTGCAGGGTGTCCAGCATCGGCAACAGAGACTTGTCCCCCTCGCTGAATTGTAGGCACCTCGATTGGTGGAACAGCTGGCCAAAGTATTTAGATGATGTCCTATCAAAAAATGATGAAAGAATAACAAAATTTTTCATCTGTCCCTTCCATGAATAAAGGAACATACATTTAATCATAAAAGTATACAAGAATTACCTACCTATCTAGTATCTATAGTTATATATAATAGAGAAACCATAGAGAGAAACTAGTTAATCTTTCCTAGAGTGATACATAGGATTTTATCTCGTGTGGTAATAATTATTTCATTAATCCAAAAATAAATAACTTTGTGGTATATCAAACAAAGTCCTCATAAGTATACGTAAATTGTCCGAATAAAATTAGTTTCGCATTAAAAATTTATAATTTATAATTTTTTAAAAATAAATACATCATAATAACAATATACATTTATTTACTGAAAAAATGGTCCAAAATTTTGATCTTTGTACCTGATGGTGCGCTCCCGAGTAAACCCACGTGGCAGCACCAGAATAAACCCTAAACCCTACAAAACAGATTTAGCACTCCGACACTAAAGTTAGGACTCTTCTTAGTGAGAGAAAGAGAGCTAAATAAATGCAATATAGAGAGAGAATAACATATGAAATTAATGCTTGGGATATCCCTTTTTATAGACCCAAGGGAGGGAATATAGGAATATTCCCTTGCACATGGGTGGAAATGGGTGTAAGTAGATATTACTTGATACTTGGGCCTGTGTAGGCAAAGCCCAATGAAGCAAGAACTTGGTTGCCCCATCAATTGCCCCTGCTAGAGGCTAAAACGCGGCAGCCCGTCGGAGTTTGGGCTCTAGTATTAGTGGACGGGGTCTTGGGCCTTCTAATCACGTGGTTCGGCCCACGAATTCATCCATCCTGGGCTGGTGGAGGGTTGCC